TAAAATTTATGTACTTAAAAATAATAGATTATTGAAATCCATATTGTAGAAAAAGAGCAGACAATGGGTATCTGTAAACAGCAGGCATAGACTCATACCTTTGTATCCTAGCAAAAACTGCATATTTTGGTTAGAAACATGTATATTTCTCTGCTGTCCAGAGAACTATGTATGGATTGGACAGAGATACCTTTGGCGTGATGAGAAATACCTTTTAGTTCATATTTAAGTGGCAACTAGAATAAATCTAAAATCTTAATCTTGTGACCCAAACAGTAAGAAGTCATTGCTCTATCAGCTTATTAGAACTATACCAATGAAACATCAGAAACATTTCCCATATCTTAACCTGTATTTACATCTCAAGTCATTTATTTGGGCCCCCAAAGCTTATGAACTTGTATATCTTCAGACCTTAAAACATTTTTCAAGGGATCTAGTAGCTTTAGAGAAAGCAAGGCTTTCTTGGAGGGAGAGGGAGAGAGAGAGAGAGAGAGAGAGAGAGAGAGAGAGAGAGAGAGAGAGCACTAACAATCTTAACAAGCTGGATATAGCTTTGTGGAATAATCTGGATACCTTTTGTTGCTAAGCTGACATCATTATAGCTGACCTAGCCATCAATACAATCAGAGATCCAAGAAGGATAAATAAAGTATATCTGAATGCAGACCAAGTAGTTTCTGAATCTATTAAAAATGACAAGAACCAATGTCCATATACAGTTAGTCATACCCAGGTCCCCATAGCATTGGAGGCAGAAGTATCCAGAACATCAGTCTTATAGTCTTAACCAGGCCTATAAGGTGAATATTTTTTGTCCTGTGAAAGAGGGACATGGAAAAGACTGACCTAATTTTGTCTAGGTAAAAGTGATGCAATGAATTTTCTAATGTCCTGAAGTTTGTCCACAGTCTGGACCAGGACCTGGCAGCAGGTGTGGTACTGGGGCATCTTGCCCAGTGGTCAGAGTCGTCATAATCCAAGTAGAGTCATCATGGTGTCCCATAATCTTTTTTGGAGACCTTGAGTTACTGCTAGGATCTCAGAGTCTCTGCCTAATTATGATAAGCTTTTAAATCGTTTTCTAAATGCTGTAATCTGCAGGTCTCTGAAGTATGAGGCCTGTCGATGTATATCTGATTAGACAAACTTTGTGTCTAGTTACTTGTTTTAAGTTTGACTTTGAAAACATACACAGGTGCTGTGGGAGCTCCTTCAGCTCCTTCAGCCAATAGCCTTTAAGATACTAGCTCACTTGGGTGTGGTCTCTTATATTAAAAGTGCAGCTATTGATTGATTATTGATTGGAAGTGTGTTGCAGGCCTCAGAATTTCATAAGAAACATCATGTCAATAGCAAAAGTTTAAAGGAAGAGTTTCTATTACATGGCAACAAGCTAAGGAGATTATAAAGAGATGTCCTACTTGGTCTTTCTATAACCAAACACCATTACTTGCAAGGAGTAACCCAAAGGGTACTCAAAGGAATGGAGTGTTTCAATGGATGGATGTGTTCCACTTTACAGAATTTGGAAAATTAAAATATGTACACCACACCATTGACACATATTCAGGTTTTCAATGGGCAACTACCTTGAGCTCAGAAAAGGCTGATTCAATAATCATGTATTTATTAGAAGTTATGGTCACCATGGGTACACCTGCACAAATAAAGACAGACAATGGTCCAGCATATGTGTCTAAAAAATGAGACAGTTTTTCATTGATTATTATATAAAGCATATTACAAGTATACCAAATAATCCTATAGGTCAGGTAGTTATAGAAAGATCTAATTGTACTATAAAGGATGTGCTAAACAAACAGAAAGGGATGAAAAATCCCCTGGAAATAGATTGCATAATGCTTTACTAACCTTAAATTTTCTTAATGCTAATGATAAATGAACAATGACAATAGAGACATTGGATACTAGAAAAAACTTCTGAATTAAATCAGCCAATATAATTCAAGAATGTGTTAACCTCACAATGGAAACCAGATGATGTGCTATGTTGGAGAAGGGGTTTTGCTCTTGTCTCCACTGAATAATAAAAGCTATGGATATCTTCAAAATTAAAAATTCAGTTTGAAAAAGAGAAACCTCTTGAGAAGGAGAAATGACAGCTCATCCACAGAGGTGACAATTATACAGGTAGTAAGGAACCCTTATAAGGGTTGTGGCAGGGTTCTTTTCTTGTCTTTGCAGGAAAATATTCATCTTCAAAGAGTCGAGAAACCTTGGACATCTAGATGCCTAAAGAAGAAAAAATAACTATCCATAAAGAATCAACAAGTAAAGAGGAATCTGACTTATAATGCTTTATCATCTGCATGGTAAAATTTGATTATTTGGACATGCATACATCTCTACTTAAAAATAAAAGCTGGCTTTGGAGTTTGACAATGGCTATCCTTCTCTATATCCAAGTATATTGTTAAATAAAAATTTCAGAATTTCTGTCTCATATCAGGAGCTATCTGGTATGGAAAGATAAATTTTAAGGGTGGTGGGTCAGGCAGTAGCCTTTTGTATCCCAGTAAGCCATGCACGCATTACCTTTCTAGAAAGGCTTTATTCTGAGTGTCTGAGAGTCATTAATACCTGAAGGGTCACATTGGTGGCCATCTTTTGTTGACGAATATGCATTGGGAGACATTTGAACAAGAGAAGAATTAGCATCACCACCCACCTAACCCAAGCAAAACGTATTTAAGTATCCAAAAGGAATCAAAAAGTCTCTTGAAATTGTTACATACATTTTTCAAAAAGTCAGGTGTTACCCTAGTCGTGTTTAGTTGATGAATTTTTCCTGAAGCAATACGAAATAATTGAGAAACTTGTCCAGCCATGTCCCTTTAATGCACTTAATGCACTGTGTCAATTATACTCTATCTAAGGAAGTATTGGAAAGCTTGCAGGGGGTAAGACAAATCATTCTGTAATGGGGTTGCATGCTAACAACATGTCCTTTATCTAAGTCAATTCCTCAGTAAAAGATCAATTAGTTGTTGTAATAAGTGGGTAACCTGGTAAAGAAGTTGGTTAATTAGTTCTTGAGCATGTAGAGCCTCAGCAGACTTAGCAACTAAGTGATTTAAGGTTTCTGCCATGGTAGCCATTGTGTTGATGATACTGTTCCAGGCACTGCCCCTCCCAGTCCAGCACAAAGGCCGCAGTGACAGTGGCTGTAATTACAACGTCTCTTTTTATCCTACCCACCTCCTCTAATTGGGTTTGAACCATAATGGTAATGGCAGGGAAGTGGGTAGCATTGACAACGGGTACCCTAATATTTCTCATATTAGGATGGCTGTTTGTAAGTAGCCCAGCCAACTGGCTGTCAGGGAGCACATCTCAAGAGAGCAATCGAGCGTATCTCTGACATTGGAAGCATTAGTTAATAGAAAGAAGAAAGGGGGCCAGACACAGAGGGGTGGTCTTCCAGCCAATTTGGTATTTTTGTGTCACATTTACAGCACTTCTTTCTGTCCACTTTTTACAGAAAGTAGGTCTCATTAAAAATATGACCACTCTATAGAAGTGTCAAAGGGTGCAAATCAAGACAATTAGAGGGGACATAAATGTCCCAGTTACTCATGATAGGATCAAATTGAAAATGTAGGGAATATCTGAGAATACGTGGAGCGGGGTAGGCGATGCGAGGTTCCCCTCTGTATACTCTGAATACGTTCTATTACCATTGGTTAACAGAGACGCTGTTTTGGCTTATTGCAGGGCAGAATAGAGCTAGGCAGGAAAACTAAACTAAATGTAGGGGAAAAAAGATGAAGTCAGGGAGACACCATGTAATTGCCAAAGGAGAAAGATGCTGGAATCTTACTGGCAGGCCACAGACACATAGTGATACCTGGATTAAAAGAAATGGGATAATTTAAGATGTAAGAAC